AACGGTTGGTTAGTTGCTTGTTTAATAAATGTTAATAAATATTATAACTACATATACACATACACATACAAGATACACACATACGTATATACAAATTAACATACAAATATATAGGTATATACGCATATATTTTGATATACATACGTGTGTGTGTGTGTGTGTGTGTGTCTATATATATATATATATATATATATATATATATATATATATATATATATAGTAACATATTGTTACATGTATACATACATATATATATATATAACATAGATAATGACTGAATGATCCGCCAACCAATCAACCAGCCAACCAACCAACCAGCCAACCAACCAATCAGCCAACCAATCAACCAACCAATCAATCAATCAATCAATGGCCGTCAATTTTACAACTTCTATTTTATTCGTAATGTGCCCATCGTAATACAGGCCAGACGGCTTGGTGCTACTCTGTAACGAGGTAACTCGGAGTTTGGAAGTCTCTGCACGATGGTGGTGGTGGTAAGAATGAATGAATGAGTAAGTGAATGAATGAATGAATGAACGAGCGAATGAACAAGTAAATGAATAAATGATAAAACGAACGAATGCATAAATTGATTGAAAGATGATATTACTACCACTACTACTACTTCTACTTTTACTACTACTACTATTACTGCTACTACTACTGCTACGACTACTACTACTAATAATAATAATAATAATAACCACAGCAATGTAAAAATGCTTTCCATGTCTTTTCATTGCGTACTGCAGAGCAAATGTAAGCCAATCGTGATGATGATGATGATTGTGATGATGGTTGTGATGATGATGATGATTGTGATGATGACGATGATTGTGGCGATGATGATGACGACGGCGACAAAATCGCTTTCAATACTTTCACCAGATAAGGAATAATGTCAATATCAAAGACAACATCTGCAAAAAAATAGAAAAAAACCCAGATGAAAAATAATAAAAACCACAACCAACAACAACAACAACAGCAAACAGCAGTAGCAGCAACAACAACAACATCAACAACAACAACAAACCAGTCGCCACAGCAACATCAACAACAACAAACCCGTCGCAACAACCACATCAACGATCTCCGACAACTTCATCAACAGTTCCTTTTCACAGGTCAACCAATCCAAAGCAACAACATCAACAAAAACATTATTGTTTTTATTATTGTTGTTATTGTTATTTGTTGTTGTTGTCGTAAAATTTGTCTGGCGAAATTTTCTCCACTGGTGTCGACTTAATTTTTTGATGTCTAAAGCATCATCATCACCATTATCATCGTCGTCGTCGTCATCACATCTTTCAAAACCGTTAATTATTAAATTTTCTTCCAACACGTTCAAGACGTCTTGATGATGATCAGTGAAGATGTAACGTTTGAAATCAGGGATGTGCTGAAAATCGGATGTAGTGATGCGCTCGGAAGCGGAAGTAGTGGAGTCGCGCCGAAACCCGGAAGTGGTGATGTGCAAACCGAGTATCCCAACTCCACTGCCTAATTCTAAAATTTGCCTTACAATTGATTGAAACTAATTACAGATAGGGTTAAAAATTAATTGATTGATTGATTGAGTTAGTTGTTGATTGGTTGGTTGAATGACTGAATAGTTAGTTGGATGACTGATTGACTGACTGACTGATAAATTTATCTAGTGCTTAAAACACTTCAGCATTTTCATAATTTTTACCGAAAACATCATAATCGCCATCATCATCATCATCATCATCACCATCATCATCATCATCACTACCACCACCACAATCATCATCGTCGTCGTCATCATCATCCACTCACACGTCACTATCGTTATCAACACCACCAGCATCATCATCATCATCATCATCATCATCTCACCTATCTTTAAATAGTTCTCTATTCTCAGATAACCACTCACACATAAAAATCGCCGCCTGCGAATAATAAAGATAATAATTATGATTATTATATTAATTATAATTTTAATTAATTATTATTATAAATATAATTAATAATTATGATTATAAATTATAATTAGGTACCGGCCAGACACGCAACCCCGTTGTTCCATTTGATATCATGTTGTTCGACTGCTTGATCGAGAGCCATCTGATTGGCCAATCAATATCCTATGAATGAGTGCATGAATGAATGAATGAATAAACGAGTGAATGAATGAATAAACGAATGAAAGAAACAAAAAAAACAAAACGCAGATAAAAATCAAATGCAGAGGATTGAAAGACACAAAACTATACAAACTGTACATACATAGGCATCAAATGTATATGATTTATAACTGAATTCATTCATCTTTGCATTCCTCTGAAGTGCAAGTAACTGCACAAACTCATTCACTATTTCTTCATTTAGTTCTTCTCCCAATTCTTCAAACTATCAACAAAAGTGAGTAAAAAAGGTTATCATTATTATTAAAATATCAACATCAACAATAACACGAGTACTACAACTACTTGCTGTTGCTGCTGCTACTACCATTACTACTACTACTACTTACTGCTACTACTACTACTACTACTACTTACTGCTACTACTACTACTACTACTTACTACCACTGCTTCTGCTACTACTATTATCAATACTACTACTGCTACTGCTACTGCTACTACTACTACTACTACTACTACTACTACTACTACTACTACTACTACTAATATCACTACTCTTCTTAACATTACTCTAACAAATCATTATTATTGCAAGCATATGGCACTGACCAAAATAATTAATTTTTTCAGAAATTTATAGACGAATTCGGTAGACGGAGGTCGAGTCACAAAGAGTTCATGACCGATTGTACTCTCATAGATGACCTTTTGACATGCTTCTAATCCTTGGTCTTTAATAACTTCCTTTTAGAAGAGCATATTTAAAATAATATTTTTTTAGACAAATCTGATTAATTAAAATTGTAAAAGTAATAAAATATAAACACACACACACACACACACACA